TTTTTCATAGAGGTCTAGTGATTTAAGTTTAAAATTACTTAAAATATAAAAAAATATAATATAAATGCATTTTATTTTTACAATAATGCCAAACCTTTAAAATGACTAGATTAACTTAAATAAATATCCATTGTTAGTATAAAATTGACGCCTTAGAAAAGCATGCGCCTCTGAAGCGTATGGTTATCTTTTACGTACGTTGTCATATGGTTATCTTTCTAGGGTTAAACGAAGTGAAAAAATCAAAAGAAGAATAATTTCGCACTGCGTAAGGAATGAAAAAGCACAGTTTATTAACACGACTACTTAATTGTCAAAGTAATAACAATGTATATAACATATTTTCCATTATATTTCTTAGATAATGATATTGTTTTTGAATGTTATAAACTGTTTAATCCGTCGCACCATATAATTTCTTCCTTTCCTTATATTTTTCATTTTGTAAATGTATCTAGAAATATTTTCACTCGAAAGGTTTCATTGTAATGATCGTTACGATATTTCGTAGAATGTGCGGTTTTAAGAAAACATTATACGATGCAGTAAACATTGTACCAGAAAGTTACTTCATACAACTTCTGCCTGCGCCCAACGCATTCAAAGTTAGACCAGCGCGTCATTTCGCACACAATAAAACGGGGGTATAGAGTTTCATTAGCCTATTAAATGTACATACGTCTATGATAAATTTATCACGAGACCAAGACAGCTATACATATCTAGCTTTACACATGGTCAGAATCCGCAGATTTCTACAAAACGACTTAAAATGAAACACTTTAAATGAAGACTTTTCTCGAAGACTATCAACCACATTAATCATTAATAATATCTACATTTATCGATATAACACCTGCGTCTCCATTGATTAAAACCTGCGGTATCATTAAAATTTACAAAATGCATGATTCTTGGTATTAAAAGCAAGTAAATGAATTGAATAGCTCTAGAAACACGAAGTGAGAGTTACATGATTATCTGATTCAAATTAAAATACAATTTTCGTGTATCAAAATGTCCATTGTGGAAATCATATATTTCAGCAAATGAAAATATAGATCTCTAGAAAATTTAATTGTTCCTTGAAATTCCTGGAAGCAATTTAATGCTTTTATAATTAGAATGTCATCACGTTTTAGTTGCCATGTTTATCGCTTCATTCTCATCAATTGCTACATCCGCTTGGATTCAGATCAAAATTACTGTCCATCTTTTTTCAATAACAGAGAGTTTGCAGAACGTATTATAATGTATAATAGAGTTCGGTCATGACATGCATTATTAGTTAGTATATTTAA